CCCACCGAAGGTTAGTGGGAGGCACTCCCCTGTAGGCAAAATGGATGCCCTGATATTTATACAGTTCTACAAGAAGGAGAAGGGAAAAAGAACACATGTGCATACATATTCATATGATAATGCAGGCATACCACCTAAATAAGCAACACTTCTCAAGTTACCGTCTGCCCCTCTATCTGCTATCTACAAGGACAACTGCTATCTACTAGGAAGAAGAAACTGATTAGTTCAAGGTGCCAAATGCCAGGAAGAAGGCATCTTTCCTTAAGTTGCTATGGGGATGTTTGTGATAAGGAGTTTACAATCAGCTTAGTTCACACAGCTTCAAAGGTACCAGCTCAAAGGTGCTGTGCATTCCTTTATGTTTCAATTTTATTAAGGTGATCCCATTCATCTGAGGCCTCTGAAAAGTTGCCTCTTTTACCCAAAAACTTGCTTCTTTCACCCAAAGGTATATTTTCCTCATATTGTTAATAAGACAAATAAGGAATTTCCTAGAAGAATAGGAAACTTAGTAGAATTGCTGTCACCAGAGAGTTGGGGTTACATAAAGTCCATCATCAGTACTACATGCCTCACTGAAAGATGTGCAATTTGCTCTTAGAAAAGATCACTGATATCTTCTCTTTGGTCCTATTTACATAGAAAAGAGACTCTGCTTTTTTCAGAAATCTAAGCCAGGAAGAGCAAGAGAAGAAGATCAGCAACAGGGCTAGTGGACCTACCACCATTAATGCAACAGCTTTAGTACTGTCAGTGCTAGCAGAAGAATGGGAGAGCTGTCTGCCCTTCAAGGTAGATCAGGCTAAGAAACCAAAGCCAGGCAGGTCAGTACTACTTTTATTGTAAGGCTACACTAACAGAATCTTGCAAATCTGAATGCGCTCCCCCCCCCATCTTTGTGTGAACTAGGGAGGGGCTTGTCTGAGACGCTTGCTCAAGTTACATTCTTGCCCAGGACTCAGACCCCTTTTACTTGTCTGTTGCCTTGATAGCAGCTCTTCTTCCTGTTCCTCAAGGCCATTTTCTCTGCTGTCTACAGGAGCAGCCTCATGACTACACCAGTACGAAAGGATCACTCCAACTATATAATTCCTGTATCAGTTGGAAACAAGATTAGGGAACACTACCATCACTCCTTCAAGGTAGACCAGGTCAGGATGGGCTTCCATGGAAGAAATAGCCAATTGAATATGGCTTTGTCCTTTGTGGAGCTGATACCTACGGCAATTAGAGGAGTTGGCACTGATCCAGCTCTTCGGAATCATCTCTAGGTAAACAAGATTGCCAGGATCACTCACAGGTACTCCTTACAGAGATTCCCTGTGAAGAGATTGCAATTTAGCAATCTCTAGTGAGTGGAGTGCTCTGGGAATTGAGAGAAACATCAAGCCCAAATCATGGTGCGGAGCCTTCAAACGGACACTAGATTTGCTTTATTTCCTCTTTTAACTAACATTGTAAACTGCTATTTGTGATTTATTTGGCAATTAAAAACCTCCTGAAAGACAAGTTGAGGTACACCAGGAGAATTTCCTACTATCCAGGGAAAAAGAAGATCAAAGTACATTTAAAGATCAAAAAGAAATATTTTAACATTTGGAAACAGTGAAAGGTAATTAAGAATGTTGATTGGGGACAATTAAGAGGCTAGATGGATTTTTTAAGGTTTGTTTTAAATGTTTAAGAAAATACAGTAAGTGAATTTGGATTTAATTGCAAGAAAACCTG